GTGTTCTGGCTTCTCCCACTTGTCTCCCAGATCTAGGCTGTGTGCTCATCAGCCTGGTGCTGGACCCTGAAACTGGTCTCCGTGTCCCTGAGCTCCCTCGCCTGTGGCCTTCCAGCCGGTTCAGCCCCTGATGAGTCCTGATGAGCCCCCCCAATAAATCAGCAGCTATTGTTCCCCCGGGAAACAAAATGCATTGACCTGTTGGATAAAAGGAATAAATCTTTATCTCTCTCAATACTAAAGAAGTCCTGCTGAGAATTATCCTGGCTACCTTTCAGACATTCGTTTGTAAGAAAAGCTGATGGTTATGAATAAAAATAGCGAATATTTATTGAGCACGTAGTTTCTAACCTTTATGAATGCTACGTAGATTAATTCATTAACTTTCAACAATCAGGTGAGGTATTATTATTTTGCATCCTAGATAACTGAGGAACACGGAAGTTAGATTTTTTTTTTTGCTCCAACTCTTGTAACAAAGCAAAGATTCAAACCTAAGTGCTCTGAGTCCTAGGCCTGAACTCTTAACCAATCAACTCTGTTTTTCTCCATAATTAACAGATTCATTAATAATGGCCCTATTTACATATTTAAGCATAATCATTTTTGTCCTAAGATATTCTGACTGTGATAAAGTTAACAGTGCCATGCACTGGGATTTTATGATTTCTCTTGCAGAGCAAGGGGTTCATTCAGTGTTTTGATAGAATGCTGCATACAGTCAAAGAAGTGATATCCTATTTATTTTAACAAAAGACAAAGCTTCCCAAGAGAAATACAAAGGGTGTCTTCGTTTGTCACCTGAACCACTGACCTGCCCACCCAGTGACATCACTGGCGTCAGGTCTTCGGCCGCCACGTGGTTATCTAAGAGCACAGAGACAGTCCTTGACCTTGCAGATGTCTTTCCCCAAAAGGCACCCCGTATCTGACACCTTGCTTCGGCTAGACTTCTCCACCATATGTATGTCGCAAGTTTTTCAGATACCTCACGGATTACATGTGTGGTGGAAAAAGAGATCTTGGATCGTAGGACACGCCCCAGCAAAAAAATGTCCATTCCAAACCTCAGCGGGAACATTGTTAAAAACAAAATCGTGAAAAAGGTTTCCTGTCATAACGTTAACCAAATGGAGGTTGATGGAAAAAAACAGTTCTGGAAACTGGGCTGCAGGCCTGGGCCCCACAGCTCGGCTGGACCGGCACCAATTTACACGAAGGATTATATAAATCTTTGGAGACCGTACGGGACCGTCTGGCCACGGTTTTGGTTGTCAGCATTTTAACCCTTTCTTTGGGGACTTCTAACCACGCACAGTGCCCACCATGACAGCCTCTCAGGACAGGAGCTGAAAATGCGCCCCCTCCCCACCCCCTTGCTCCTCCCACGCCTGGTGAGAACAACTGATCACGTGACCTCTTGCGGCCAATCGGAGCCTCGGGCTGGGATTGTGCCCCGGGACTGAGTGACTCAGCTTTATTTTTCACCACATTTACGGCTGCGTTTTTGGGTTCGTTTATTGCATTTCCCTAAATGAAATGTGGGTTTCTACGAGGGCAGCACGTTTTGTGCACTGCCATGTTCCTATTACTGAAAATAATGCCTGGCTTGCACAAGGAATTCAGTAGGTTTCTTGAACGAATGAACACGTGGATGGATAGAGGGATGCCCATGTAAAGAAAGGCTAATTTACTATTCCCCCTCCCAGAGTGCCCTGCACAGCCAAGAAGTTCATTCATGTCTTTCTTCAATCATTGTTGTCTAGAGAAAGACACGATGGGGCAAAACAAGGTCATTTCACTGTTTTGTGGAAAGATGAGTTTGTTCCTTCTACTTGGCAACGTTTTTGTCCCTGTGAACCCTTCCACTGGCAGTACATAACTCAGCTGGGTGTTTCTAAATGGAGAGGCTTTCCCTGTTTTGTTTTGTTTTTTTTTTTAAGATTTTTTAAAAATTTGTTTTTAGAGAGATGAAGGGGGGAGAAAGGGAGGGAGAGAAACATCAGTGTGTGGTTGCCTTTCAAGTGCCCCCTACTGGGGACCTGGCCCGCAACCCAGGCATGTGCCCTGACTGGGAATTGAACCGGTGACCCTTTGGTTCGCAGGCTGGTGCTCAGTCCACTGAGCCACAGCAATCGGGGTGGCTTTCCCTACTACAGCTTGGCCCAAACATGTCCAATTGTCAGCCACTGTAGATTAGACGTGTTACCCAGACAGTGACTGTCACAGATGTCCTCTACTTTGACTTGCACTTATATATGTGTTGGTGTGGATTTAGTTCTATACGACTTTATCATGTGTGTAGGTCCATGTACCCACCATCACAGTCAGATAGATAGACCGTTCTGTTACCACAAGCATCCTTCCTGTTGCCCTCAAGTGGCCACACCCACCTGCCCCCCGTCCTCCAGCCCCCAGCCTCCAGTTCCTGGCAACCACAAATCTGTTCTTCATTTTTAAGCTTTGTCTTTTCAGAAATCTTTTATCAATGGAATCCTACAGAATGCGCCCTTTTGACTCTTTAAAAATTCAGCATAGTTGCCTGGAGATTCACTGAGGCTGGGGGTGTCAATAATCCATTCCTTTTTATCGCTAGGTACTGTTCCACGGGGTGGATGGACCGGACCAGGGTTTGTGCAGCTGTCATCTGTCGAAAGACGTCTGGGTTGTTTCCAGCTTTCAGTTATGACTCACAGAGCTTTTACGAACGTTCATGCGAAGGTTCTCGTACAGTTTCACTACACGTGATCATGAATTTCCATTTCTCTGCGATAAATACCCAAGCGTGCAACGGCTGGGTCATATGGCAACAATATGTTTAGTGTTTACAACAAACCGCCCAACTGTTTTCCGGGGTGGCAGCGCCGCTTCCTGTGCCACCAGCGGCGTCCGAGGCACCCGGTTCCTCCACATCCTCGCCAGCACTTGGCGCGTCACACTTTTACTCTGGTCATCCTTTTTTTTTTCTTTTCCCAATCGGTCTGTTTATTTGGACTTGGTTTTTCATATGAGAAAACTTCATTTCCGTTTTAATTATTCTTACTATGTCTTTAAGCAAATGACAAAAGGAGAGCGTGTATACAAATTGAACCTAAAAATATAAATACAATTCTTTATTCATCTGGGGTATAAAAGTAGCTTGCAAAACAGGGATAATGTAGACAGGAGACATAGAGGATCATTTATAGTGATAAATATGAATTTTCATAAGACTTAGTGACGTATGCCCACGTGGGATGCTTTTTATTTTCGAATAGATAGCCCTGAAATTTTCATTTGCATTTCCCTGATGACTGGTGATGCTGAGCATCTTTTCATGTCCTTACTGGCCAGCTGGATGTCCTCTTTGGAAAAATGTCTATTCAGATCCTGAGCTCATTGTTTAATTAGATAGTTTTTTTCTTTGCTATTGAGTTGTGAGTTCTTTATATGTTTTGGATATTAATCTCTTGTCAGATATATGATATGCAAATATTTTCTGTTTATTAGGTTGTGTTTTCATTTTGCTGATGGTTTCTTTTCTGTACAGAGCCCCTCCCCACCTGAGGACATGCTTATTGATTTTAGAGAGAGGGAGGGAGGGAAAGAGAGAGAGGGAGAGACACATGCATCGGTTGCCTCTTGGACACGCCCTGACCAGGGACCAGACCTGCGACCTAGGCGTGTGCCCTGACCAGGAATCGAACCTGTGACCTTTCGGTTTATAGGAGGATGCTCCAACCAGCTGAGCCACACTGGCCTCGCTTGTTGGATTTTCACTTTCGTTACCTTTGCTTTCCCTGTCACATCCAATAAATCATCTCCGAGGCTCACCCACGTCAAGGAGCTTACTACCTATATATTTTTTTGAATTTTTATGATTTCATGCCTTACATTTAAGTTTTTCATGCATTTTGAGGATTGATATCCATTTTGAGGGCATTTTTGTGTGTGGCTGGAGATAGGGGGCCAGTTTCATCCTCCTGCTGTACACATGGCTGTCCGGTTTTCCCAACACCAGTCATTGAAGAAATTGTCCTTTCCCCATTGTATATTCTTGATTTCTTTGTCATAAATTAATTGATCATACTGGTCAGACCACTATCCTGTACACCTGAAACCAATATAAAATAATATTGAAAATAATCGGTAATTGACAAATAAAAATAAAACCCCAAAAGGTAAAAAGGCCTCCCTCCAAATTAATTAACTGACCATATAGGTGGGTTTACTTCTGGGCTCTCTGTTTTATTCCATTGATCCGTGTGTCTGTTTTAGGTCACCACCATACTGGTCTGATCCCCACAGCTTTGCACTATAGTCTGAAATCTGTAGGCCTGTCTGTGTGTGCGGAGCCCAAAGCTTGCTTCACGCTGAAGCTGGAGGACTAAAGCACGAGGCCTTTTTGACAGAAGGACAGCGGTGTCTCGCTGCACTGGCTGTGACCTGGGGATGGTAGTCCAAGAACCATCTGTCTGATGGTTACAGTTCTGCGGGACCCAGGAACTAACGTCCTTGGACCACCAGATGGAGACAAGACCGTCAGGGGTATCCCCTGGGTCGCAGCCGAGAAAACCATGCACCAGGCGCGGGTACAAGCCCTTGCAGGGAGATACGAGCACGCGGGGCACGCGCGGCACGCGCGGCACGCGGAGCTGGTGGAGGCAGCGCCCTCGTGGGAGGACAGCGCGCCTGCGCCCTGAGGGCTCCGGGCGCATGTGTGTTTATCAGAAGGCGGCCCGGGCAGCTACAGCCACTTCAGAAGCCGACAGGCCTCTCTCCCAGACACACTGGGCTCCTGGGTGGGGGGCCTCCGGTCGTGCCCTGGAGGTCGAGGCCGTTTACAAACTCTTTCTCCGCTGGTGGCTGTCCTGTGGGACCCTCATGGGAAAGGCCCCCGGGCTCCCAGAGCCAGGCCACCGAGAGGTGTCGCTGGCGGCAGGCGCGTGCCATAGCCCCCCCCCCTCCGGGGGACACTGGTGCCCTCGGGGGCCGCGGGGACCTACAGTCGCGCGAAGAAGATGACGCCCGGAGGGGGTGAGGCAGAGAGCGCGGGAAGGCGGCACCTGCAGCCTCCCTCCCAGAAGCAGCCAGCAGGCCCCGAACGTGCGGAGCACGGGGTGCCCGCCCCGCCGGCCTCCTCGGGCCCCTCCGCCCGACCAGGTGAGTCCTTGCGCGCCCGGGGCTCCAGAGGCCCAGCGTGCGCGTCTGGCCGTTGGTTTTCAAAGCTGCATGTTTTGGGGGTTTGTCTCTGGGGTGCAGGTCTTAAAAGTTGGGGGCGCCAATGTGGGGTTCAAACCCTTGGCTCCTCGAGGAGCAGCTCCGGGCTTGAGTTTCCTCCCGAGCGTGGGCCGCGCCAGGGGCGGGGTTGCGGCGCCGCGGTGTCCCGGCCTGTCCTGCTGCTTTCCCGGTGCGCGTCTCTCGGCCGCCATCCAGCGCGAGGGCGTCAGGGGTTACCGGCCAGTTTTCTGTGTTCTTCGGGGGAAGTTGTTCGCTGTGAACCCGCAGACTGCTGTGTGCGGGGGTGAGCACAGGCGCCTCTTACGGGGGCGCCGTCTCGAACTGGGACCCCCACCCCCGCCCAGCGTCGTGCCTTTTTCAAGGTTCTCAGCAGCATTTTACATGGCGCCGCCCTAGTTGCTGAACAGAGTTCGCTGTCATCTGCAGGGTCAGCTTTCAAGAGCTGGTGACAGCGCAAATAGGCCCAAGCTTTCCCTTAGAGATGTTTTTTGGATGTGACATCTGCGGATTTATATGAACTCCTTTTTGAACCAGGTTTTAATATCCGGGCAGTGAATGTTCAAGGTTCCTTGGGTTCCTTGGGTTCCAGCTCCCTGGGTCTGCCCGTGCCTCCCGCTGATGGCCCATGCAGCCTCCACGTGCTGAGAACACACTGTTGGCTTGGCCAAAAGGTCTGTTAGGTTTTTTCCCTACGGCTACGTTTTTTTTTTTTTTGGCCTATGGTTAGGTCCTTTCCGTTCATAGTTGTCTTTAACGTCATTGGAAACAATTTGGTTAGATTGTATTGTGACGGCTGTCACCTCAGTGTGCATTTAAAAAAAATGATCAAAACTGGTGATTTTTGTACAGCCATTTTAATATTGAAGGTGGAAGAATATACACAACATTTTCAGTGTGTTATGCTTTATTATTTGAAGAAAGGTAAAAAGGCACCTGACACACACACACACACACACACACACACACACACACAGTGCAGTGTGTGGAGAAGGTGCCGTGACTGATCGAATGTGTCCAAAGTGACTTGTGAAGTTTCTTGGTACTGTTGACACTTTGGCCGGATAATTCTCTGCTGCAGGGCTGTCTCATGCACTGGAAGATGTTTAGCAGCACCTCTGGCCTCTACCCACTAGAAGCCAATAGCAGGAGATAGCCGGCATACCCAACATATCCAAATCAATCAAGTTATTGGTGAAAATGAAAAATGTGTCTTTTATTTTAAATAAAAAATCCAAACAAACTGTTTGCCCAGCCCAGCACACACCAAGCTGCGGGTGGCTGATCAGTGGCCCCCAAAGGTGGGTGAACCCTAATCTCAGAACCTGTGACTGTGTCACCTTCCATGACAAACAGGAGTTTGCAGGGGGGATTAGTTTAAAGTGTTGGGGTGGGGAGAGGGGCTCAATGTAATCACAGAGCACTTATAAATGAAAGTGGGGAGAGGAGGGTTGGGGGAGACTCAAAGAGGCTGTACCCCTGGCTTTGAGGGAGGGAGGAGGGAGGGCCGCCAAGCCAAGGCAGGCAGGCAGCGTCTGGAAGCTGGAAAAGGCAGGGAAATGTTCTCCTCCCAGAGCCTCTGGCAGGGATGCATGACCCCTGATGACCCCTTGATATGAGCCCCAGGAGACCCAGTTCGGACTTCGACCTTCAGAGCGGTGAGGCGGCCCGTGCGTGGGGTTTCAGCAACTGAGTCTGGGGTGATTTGTTGTAGCAGCCGAAGAAAACTGACACCCAGGCATTGTGTTAAGTTTTTTTTATGTACATAATCTAAAGTGAATCCTTTCTTTACAGCCCTTAAAGTGAATCCTTTCTTTGTTTGTGGGAGATATTATTATTCTGGTTTTGCAGAAGAAGAGAAAGGTTTGCAGAGAAAGTTTCAGTACATGGGCACCTGATGCCAACGTTCGTGTGTTTGTTCGGCGCCCGGTCTGTGCGGGCCCGCTGGCGTCCGGGCCCATGTGTCCGCTGTCTGTCCAGACTGGACATTTGTGTGTTCCTTTACAGCTCTCATGCAAACCTTTCTGCCTTCCTGAGCAATTTTTGGGTCCTTCTTTGAACATTCTGTAATTCATTATGTGTTTCTTGGGGGACGAGAACTGCTCTAAGCTCTTTTCGAGTTGTTCCTTGAGCGTTCGGTTAGCAAGAACTCATAAGTCAATTGAGGAGGAAAGGAAAGGACTGCAGTTCGCAGAAAGGCACTGCCAGGGGCTTCCCACGGAGGCTCTCACGGGAACTTTCTGGGACCCCGAAGGTGTGCGTGTCGGACGGAGCTCACTTCACGGACGGGAAACCGTCCAGGCTCAGAGGGTGGAGAGCTGGTCCGGGGTCAGACACGTTTTACACGTTGGGGCTTGCATTTGAGCCCAGGGCCAACCTCATCACCAGTTCGAGGGTGCTGCTGAGGTCGCGGAGGGAGACTTCTGCGAACGCGGTCCGCGGAAAGGGTGGGGGGGGAGAGGGGAGGGGGAGGGGGGAGGGGGCAGGCCGAGGGAGGGGCAGGCGGAGGGAGGAGGTCAGACCCGCTGCGCTGGTGCAGGGCGGTGCTGTGAGCCCATTCGGAGGCCGGCGGAGCAGGTCTCCGCTGGTGGAGCCGGAGCTGCTGTGTCTGGCTGTGTCCTTTCCCTGCTGACTGTCACCCGCCCTCCTGGGCCTTGTGGCAGGTGAGAGTCAGTGAGGTGACTCTGGCAGGGGAAGACATGGAGGCAGTGATTCCTGGTCTGTGACAGGGTGTGGGTCATAAGCCATGGAAATGACATGTGTGTGTGGTGTGTGTGTGTGTTTGTGTGTGTGTAGCAACACAGGCATCTCATATTAAATATTGGGGAGTCGGGGTGGGGGACAGGGTTTCAGGAAAGTGCCTGTACTTAAGTCCCAGGTGCTTCATCTTTGAATGGTTTTTACTGGATTTTGAAAACGAACCACAGTTTAGAGCCAATTTTTCTTTTGAGGTTCTCTAGTTCCAGGTCCTGGTTCTTCAGGAAGGACGTGATCCAGAGTGTTCAGAGTCTTGTCATTTGGCCTCTGGGTCCAACCTTGTCTTGGCTTATCCCTGTCCCATCCCTGATATGTGGGCCAGAGGTTTTGGGGGCGAGGTGTCCTCTTCATTTCTTTACCGATCGTTTCCTTATCGAGGCCAGTGTGATTGCCCCGGGGGCATCGATGTCGTGATCTCCGGAAAGAAACGGGAGGCTGCCAAGCGCTGCTTCCTCCTCCGGGACGCCTGCCCAGATTGCGCCTTGGCATGTCCCGGGCTCCAGGACTCAGTAGCCGGGGTGGCCTGATGTCTTATTTATTTATTTATTTTTTTGGTTAAGAGATGAATCTGAAAGTGCAGGCCTTTTGTTTGGGGCAAACAAAAGCTAATCCAACATGTTCTCCCCTTAAAGGAAAAGCAAGCATACGGTTTTAAAGGTGGCAACATTAAGTCAGGAAGTTTGGAAGAACTGTCGTAGGCCCTTAAGAATCTGGGCCATTTAGAAAGGTTAACCGAGGGATGGAGGATTTCGAAGCCTTTGTTTGGCTAAGAAGAGGGAGACCTTTTCAGTCATGTCCCCTAAAACGGAGCCCGAGCCCCCGTCCTGAACTGGAGGAGTCACAGATCTGACACTCGGACGGGGCTGGGCGAGCTTGGAGAAGACGCCGCGGAGTGATCCAAGCCGGCCCACTCACTCCTTGGCCCGGAGGCGGAGCCACACTCCGAGTACCGTACGTCTGAGTCGGTGAGTCGGCACTACGAGACTCGGGCTTCTGGAGAAGGAACGTCACAACCTCTCATGGGGCCTCCGTGGCTGTCACAGCCTTCCTCGCACCTCCCCCAGCATCCCAGCCTCGAACCCTCTGATGGGGCGTGTTTCCGGGGTGCAGAGCATTTCACGGATGGTGGTTCTGCAGCAGCTCTGGGTCTGCGACTGGTGAGGCTGGGGAGGGGGGGGGACAAGGCCGGCCTTCCTTGGGAATCTTACTCCTTCCCACTTCTTCCTGAGTCTCCTCCCTACAAAATGCTCGTCCAGACTGTCTCTGGGCTCCCCCGGACCCTGCTTGCTTTCTTTTCTGTTTCTAAGATGAGCCCCCATGGTATGTCACAGCCCGCTTCTCGGGCCCCGGCCTGGTTCTCGGCCTTGAGGGTCCTCTCCTGCTGGGACCCCTTTGAACGAAACGGAGACGCTCCGCTGAGCGTCACGCTCCAGCCCTTCCCTGCCTGGTCGGGGCAAGGAGCTGAGGGGTTCTGGCCCTGTGCTCTGGGCTGCAAGAAGTTCACTCTCTGGCCCTTGTAGGCCTTCTGCACACCCACAGCTGCCTCCTGGCTTCCGAGTAGTCCCAGGGACCCGGGCCCTCCCGTGGCAGCCTGCCAGACAGACACCCCGTCTCCCCATCCCCGTGTGGACCGGCCCTTCTGCTCGCCCTCGCGGGTCCTCCCCGGGGCTGGGCTCTGGCGCCTGAACCGCGGTGTTCCGGCAGGAGCCCCGTCCCCGCCACCCTTCTCTGTATGCATGTGGCTGTCTCTCTGCCCACTTCCGAGACTGGCTCCTGCTCCCGGTTCAGCGTCCTTGTCGGAGAACGTGATGGTTCACCGCGTTGACGGATGCGCTCCCTTCCCTGGCCGCGTCCCCGTGCTCGCCGCCTCCCCGGACGACAGCTGGTGGCTTGTGGCCAGCCCCCCTTGGACATCGAGCTGGATTCCGAGGCTAGGTCCCTTCAAGTTCCGCGTGGGGCCCCTCCCCTTCTCTTTCCTCCCACCCATCGCTGCTAATCAGCCTTTGTCTCTGCATTCCCTACCCCTGCATCTCACATTTGTCCGGATTAAAATTTCCCCACCATGTAATTTCTCTCTCCCAGTATTGCTAATCTGCTTTCTCCTGTGTGGTCTCTCTTCACTGGCGCGCGTTTAGAGGCAACGTGAGGTGTAATTATCGGTGATTGTCCCTACCCGGTAATTGCTCCTGTCTCCACCGGTCGATTACACATGTGCCACCCAAGCATCCTCACGGCCACCTGATTGACAAAGCCGTTGGCTGCATCTCAGCCCTCCTCCCCTCTTCCTGAATCTCCTTCCAGCACTTGGCAAAGCCGGCCACCCGTCCTTTCGTAAAACACCCTCTTGCCTGGCCTTGGGTGGGAGTTCATTCTCCCCGCCCTCCCCCCGCCGGCACCCAAGGCTGTGGCTGCCTTTGCTGATGTTTCCTGAGCCTTCTTCCTCCTCCCCCCCATCCTGGGGGTCCTCGCCGTGTCTCCCGGGACCTCTGCTTTGACTCCCTCGATGATGTCACATGCAGCTCTGAGCCTGTACCCTGCAGTCCCCGCCTCGGGGACACTGCCATTTCAGCACCGGAGTGGGACAGCTCTTCCATGTGCCACTTCTTCCTTCCGCCGTTACACTCCCCTTGCCGTGCCTCCGCTCCCTGGACAGCGGGCCTCGTGCTCCCCTTTAAGCAGCATCCCAGTGCTGCGTCTCCGAGGGCTGCCGCCTTCTTCACTCCTCCCTGGTGGGGACACCTCCAGCCCGTGCATGGAGGTGTCGCTCCGCAGCAAGAAGGCCTGCTGGACTCGGGGTCGGCGGTGGTTCACTTGGAGTGAGGCATTCTGGGAGGATGCGCACACGCATGCACGGGAATAGACGACGTGAGGAGAGAGAGACGCGTTCCTGGTTCTCGGGCAGTTGTTCTCTCTGCATTCTGCTGTCCACCTTGGTGCTTGTCCCTGCGTCTCAAGCTCCACCTCGTCTGTGGAGGGCTGTCCCCCGAGGCTCCCGACACGCTGACACACACGCGTGTGCCAGAGCTGTGGACAGTGTGGCTGGAAGGCACGATGGTTGGGACACAGTCCTGAAGAAAACACTGAACTCTAAAGAGAAATCATCTCGCTGTAACCTCTCACACTAAATGAACACACAAAAGTAGTATCTTTGGAATTATTTTTTTTCTCGGTCAGTTTGCTTTTTACAATGAAAGCAACTCTGAAATTCCGAAAGCTGCCTCCTACTACTCACTTATGAGCCGTCTGACCGAGCTGGTAAGTGGAAGGTAACATCAGTAATACGTTTAATGTGTTTGGCATCTCACGCGATCCACACGGCACTCCTGGGATCATCCCCTGCTCCCTCCTTTTGCAGCTGAAGGGGTCGGCCAGCGGGGGGGACTTCATACCGCCCACGAACAAACAGCGCCGGCCCTGGAGCACAGGGGCGCTCCTTCGAGGCCAGTGCTCTTCCGGCTCTGTTTCCCCCGATGCTGTGTGCTGTGCTCACGCTGCACGCTCCGTCTGTTGGAGACCGTCGGACAGACTGTGAGATGAGTCTGTCTCTTGGCAAAATCTCAAAGCACCCGAGGAGCCTCTCGGGGCGAAGCCTGGCTTACGCGCGCCGATGGTGCGCAGCTCTTCCTGACCACGCACCGGCAGAACCGGCAAGCACGACGCCTCAGGTCTCTGCTCTCCGTTTCCCGAGACCCGCTTATTGAATGTTCCCCAGTGCACCACCGCCTGCCAGGGGCCCGAGGGCCCTGGGCAGCAGAGTTTGGAAATTACCAGTTTGGTGGTTTGGTATGCTGGCCAGTAGTGGTACTGGTTCACTAGAGCTGCTTAAACAACGTACCAACCACCGAGTGGCTGAATCAGCAGAAACTTCTTGCCTCGCAGCCCTGAGGGCTCAGGCTAGGCAGGACCCAGGTGTCAGCAGGGCCCAGGTGTGGGCAGGTCCCGCTCCCTCCAAGGGCTCGGGGGAGGGTCTGATCCAGGCCTCTCTTAGCTTCTGGTAGTTTCTCGTCTTAGGACAGTATGACTCCAGTCTTTGTAGAGTATTCTCCCTGTTCTGCGTCCCCATGTGCCCTTTTGTGAGGACACATGTCATGTTGGGCTAGTGTCCATCCTGGTGATGTCACTTTAACCTCATTTCCTCTGTGGAGACCCTGTCTGCAAAGGAGGTCACGTTCAGGAGTACTTGGGGCGAGGACTCCAACGTGTCCTATTTTGGGGGACAAGATCCGATCCACAAAATTCAATCCAAACAGTGGCCAAGCGCGGATTTTGGTCCTTTCCTAGCCCTCAGTGATTGTGGAGCCTTCGTCTGACACTTAGCACCGGTTCGACACCCCCAAAATAAGGAGGTTGGAACATACAAGATTTGTGAGATTTTTCTCTCTCCGCGTCCATGGCTGTACAGACAGACACATGCACTGTTCCCGACCGTCCATCAGCGGGCTCCAGCGTTCATCTGTTGTCATGGTTTCTTTATACTCAAGGGAAGCTGTTTCGCACGGGCTGGTTGATAGCAGTAGTTATTTTTCTTTAAACAACTACAATATTCCAGGCATTCCCTTTTGAGCTTTGCATATTTTTTACCCCTCCCCGAAAGTCCTGCAAGGTGTTTATTAGAACCCTTATTTGATAGCTGAGGTGTCCAAGCGCAGTGAGCGGCCCTCAGTTCGCCGGAGACCTCTGTGTGTGTATTCAGGGCGTTAGCGCGTAACTTGGGTCCCGGTTTTGTTTGTTGTACTTCTTATACGTTTGGCTTCCTTCTCTCGCCTGCTGGCAAACATGTTCAGATTGGGATGGTGAAGTTCTCGTGGGACAGGCCGGCTCCACTGCAATGACTTGGCCGGAAGCGGACATGCAGGTCGAGCGTGAGAATCACACTGACGCAAAAATGTGATCTAAGGCGTTCTGAGGCTGGGGACGTGAGAGCCCTTGGCAGAGCAAGGTAGAAAGCGGTCTCTCCTGCAAGTGTCTCAGAATCAGCTCGGTGCCCGGTGTCAGAGCCCTACGTCAGGGGTCACTGTGACTTAGTGGGGAGAAGTCCTTCCGTGTGCGTTGCATGTTCCAGGCCACCGAAGGTCCTTGCGTTGCCATGCAGGTGGCTGCAGAATGACCAGCTGGCGACTGGCTCCTTCTTCCCCGTGTCAGTAGGTGACGTGGGAAGTGGGGGGGTCTCACATGGATTAAGGGGAAGGTTCGTGCCAGGGCCTTTGCCGTTTAGCCAGCCTGGCGAATCGTCCTCTTACACACGAGTCACCAAACACCAGTCTGAAGTGTTACCGCCTCAGCTCTCGCTCCCCGCTGCTGGGGCGCCCTGGCAGCCAGGAGGGGGGCTGCCCACACTCCTCTCCTGTCCCTGCATGGGCTCGGGGTCGGATTGGGGCCGATCGGGGGCTTCCTTCTCCCCCTTCCCTCTCGCCTCCTCCAAAACCCATGTGGCATTGCCTGCTTATTCCATTGGTTACTTTTAGAAATATTTTGAATGAGCCATTTCTGTTCCCAGTGGAAAAATTCGAAGGTTTGGAATGGACGTTTCAGAGATTCGGGAGAGTGGTCTCACAAGCAGGAAGGGCCCCTTCTCTGACTGTCTACTCCCCCGCCACAAGCGCTTTGCAAAGGGTTCGGCAGAGCACCTGTAAAAAGGTGAGGCTGGCGGTTCTGTCAGGTGCTGCCCGGGCATCCTGACTCAGGGTCAAGGCCACTGTCGGCTACTTCAGGCGTCCCAGATGCCGATAGTGTCCATCTTGTGGCTGCCGCTTCCCATGCAGCCTCCCGGGCCGCCCCCACGAGATTCCATTTCTAACACAAACTCCGGGTCGGCACCGTACCATCAAACCAGGGTGTGAGCCATGGGTGCGATTTAAACTTTTCTAGTGGCCTCATTAAAACGGTAGAGAGAAACACGTGAAATTTTAGTAACATACTTACTTAATCCCACATAGTCAAATGATCATCGCAACATAAAATCCGTCTAAAAGCTCATTATTCAGTTGACTACCTTTGGTGCTAAATTGTTGAAATTCAGTGTGTGTGCTAGGCCTGCGGTATGTCTTAGTTCGGACTGGCCACACTTCACTCAAAAGCCACAAGTGGCTGGAGGCTATCGAACAGGACAGTGCAGACCCCTTACCTGTCCCTGCTGAGTCACAAGCTGCCAACAGAGCGAAGAGCCACCCGTGCCAGACTCATTGGAGCCCCTGGAGGCATTGTGAGGGGCAGTGTCCGAGGGCCCTGTCCCTGGAACCTGTCATTGAAGTGTGCGCGCTGCAGCGCACCGGTGGGCAGGGGTGTGTTTACGCAGCGGGTGCACAGGGGACCGGGGGCGGTGGGAGGACACAGACGTCTTGAATGCCCCTCACATACCCCTGAGCGTGTGTGTTTGCACATGTAGACTGTTGTGCAAGCGCTGGGAACTGTATGTGCTAAAGGCACAGGCTCCCGACAAAGTGTGCCAGTGGCACTGTCAACCAGAAGCGGCTGAAAGTTCTCCCCGTTTAACTTGTAAATGCAGCCGGGGCATTTTTGCACATGAATCAACTTGTTTGGCTCCACGAACCTCTGTGCTCTGTCCCCATCTCTGTCCCAGGCTGTCCAAGGTGCTCTGTGTGTGAATTTGCAGGGGCGGGGAAGACGGTGCATGGAAGTTCAAGGTGAGCTTTTCTGAGGAAAAAGTGCAGCACCTGGGAGCCGGGTGGCGATGCAGGAAGGGTCCGCGTTCTGACTTTCCAGTCTCCCCCCACAAGTGCTTTGCAGAGGGTTGAGGGTGGGGGAACATCTGAATTCCGTGTAGTAAGACAGGGCGGGGCTTTCATTTCTGTAGATGTGTTTGTGTAATTAATTAATTAATTCATGTGACTAGCGCTTGATTATATCTGAAGACCAGTTGTAAAGATATCTGTGGTTTAAACCTGAATCTCAACATTCTTTTTCATCGGCCTTATGCTGCATTTTGATTTAAAAAGGAAGAAAAAGGAGCCCCCAGGAAGAAACGCGGTATCTTGTGCACAGTCTGTGCTCGGGAGGCCGTCCCGTCGTGGGGTGTGGCTGCTTCAGTGGCATCTACTTACGAGGAGGCCCTGTGTGGTTCCGGGCGTGCAGGAGAGCGAGCTCCCAGAATTCACAAGGGCAATAATGTGTCGTAGCAAGAACAGCGACCAGCGTTTGCCAGGCATTGCCTGTGTGTCCAAAGACCCTCCATGTGCATGAACTCGTGTAATCCTCGGAACAGGCAGGAAGTAGACGCCAGTTCTCACCGCCCCCCCCTCCCTGCCCCGTTACCACGGAGGAAACCGGGGCCCAGGGAGGTTAGCTGCTCTGCGTACGGCATCCAGCTGGTTGGGGGCAGAGTGATGGTCGAACCCAGGTGGGTCCCTAGTGCTTACCCAAAGACCTCACCTGCTGTTCTTGGAAGACTCTCTAAGTGTCCTCCTGCCGGTTTCTCTCCCCAGAGCAGGGGTCTCAAAGCCTGCCAGCCAGGTGGTCATCCGGACCCTCACCGCGTGCGCTGAGCCACGGGGAGCTCATTACTTCTTTGGTAGAAGGACTCCAGTGACTGGGGAGTTCTTCCTCACGTGAAATCTGTCTCTGGTGACTAGCAAACTTCGATCCCCCCAATGTTCTCGGGGTGGAGACTTCTCGAAGCTGCAGTGAGATGGAATGACAGACGACGGGACTTACACCTACCTCTGCGTGTGTATTAATGTAGTTGGAGATGAATTACATTGGAAGAATAGTTATAAGGATACCAGTTATTGGAATCTGCATCTCCTCACTCTTCTTCGTCTGTCTTGTGCTCCGGCCATGGACCTGCTTGCTCTGCGACCTGTGATGTATCTCAGGAGCCCCCCCCCCTTCCCTGCCTGGGCCTGTGCTGCTGCCTGGGGAGGCCTCCGTCCCACCGGTTCGGAAACAAACGCTCTCTCCTTTTGAGCCTAAGTGAGTTCCACCACGAAATCTTCTTTGGTAAGGGGAGAGGTTGTTTTCACCAGGGAGAGCTAAACGACTGTTCATCTAAGGAGGATAAACAGGCTGGAGGCGATTTTCCTCCTTCTGACCAGAGAGCACGTTGAGGACGTCTGAGCACCCGTGTCACGCTGGAGCGTGGCTTCCTCCAGCGCCACGTGATGTATGGGCCACTCTTTTCACGGTGGGCCCGGCTTCCCCGTGGGCAAAATGGAGAGCTTGGGTCAGAGGACCTCGCTGACCAAGGGGTGCTTGCGGGGACCCCCTGGGCAACTCGAAAAAGTGCCCGTGATGGTGGCCCTGGGGCAGCCCCGTGAACTCGGGATCCGCGGTAAATGGACTTCTCTGAGTCCGTGCCGGGAGGGTGGAGGACGGAGGGCGGAGGGCGGCCGCCTCGACGGAGCAGCGCGGGCGGGCGGTTCTGGACTCTGAGGGGGCTGAGTCGGCAGCGGAGGCGGTTGTCGATGGCAGCGGGAGGCAGCTGGGCGGCTGGGTGGTGAAAGCATGTTTCTGCTGTTGGCGTGAATTCGGGGGCCTGGGTCTGGGGGAACGAGTCTGACTTTAAGAACTCGAGTGACCTCTCTCTTCCTCGGCGCTGCCTACGGAGGTGGCAGCCATCTCTTACTCGGCACCGTGGCAGCCCTCAGACCCCTCATGAAACCCAAGATTGTCAAAAAGAGGGCCAAGAAGTTCATTCGGCACCAGTCAGACCGTTACGTCAAGATTAAGTGGAACTGGCGGAAACCCAGAGGCATTGACAACAGGGTGCGCAGAAGACTCAAGGGCCCGATACTGATGCCCAGCATTGGTTATGGGAGCAACAAGAAAACAAGGCACATGCTGCCCAGTGGTTTTCGAAAGTTTCTGGTCCGTAACGTCAAGGAGCTTGAGGCGCTGCTGATGCGCAACAAACCTCACTGTGCCGAGACTGCTCACAACGTCTCCTCGAAGAACCGCAAGGCCGTTGTGGAAAGAGCAGCCCAGCTGGCCATCAGAGTCACCAATCCCAATGCCAGGCTGCGCAGTGAAGAAAATGAATAGACAGATTGTGTGCACATTGTATTTGTGTTAATAGAACCTTAAAATTCTGGGGGAAAAAAAAAAGAACTCGAGTGTGAGCGACCCCGAGCGGTCCTTGGGGAGCAGCAGGCGGAGCAGAGGGGAGAAGGGGGACACCCCGCCTCTGTGGCCGTCGGGAATGGAGGAGACTCCTGGAAGGGCTGCCAAGATGTGCGTGCATTGATCTCTTTTTTATGCCGTGGTTTTAAAATGCAGCACAGAAACACTTTCAAGAGGAGGGCGTGGTGGGCACCGAGGCCCAGGAGTCAGGTCCTGCTGGGAGAGGGAGGGCTGGGAGCCCGGCAGAGTCCTGAAAGGGGGCGCAGAGAAGGTCCCAGTGCACAGGTTCCCCTCCGAAGCTGCCAGGAAGAGCTGGGAGGGGGTGAGGGCGGATCAGGGCGGTGCCCACGGCAGCAGCGGGCAGCAGGGCTTGTAGGGCTTCCAGCACACGGGGTCAGAAACTGCCCAGAACGGCTTGGAGTAAGCTGCTAGTCACACGGAGGCAGCTCAGCATCCTGGGGTTCCCCACGGGGGAATCCACACTCGACCAAGCGGAGCGTTGTGGTCTGAGCTGCCCCAAGCCCTGGAGTCCTTGCAAGCATTGCCCTCCTGCTTTGGTTTTCACCGCTTGGCGCTTTCACGTTCGGTACCTCGCAGCAGAGCCCGTGCTCCAGTCTGGTCCTGTCCCCAGACAATGCAGCGGGGCAGCCTGGAAGGGGGAGACCCGTGGGGACAGCAGTGGCCGCAGCCACTGGGGAGGCTGCCTTCGGGACGGGGGAGCCTGCAGCCTAAGCAGGGGCCAAGCAGCCAGACCGACTGACGTCCCTTTTCCCCACTGCCCGTGTGTCCAGTGGGCTCGTGACGGTCCGGGGTGGGAAAGAGAAAGGACAGGCGCAGTAAGGAGCCCATGTCAGTGGTGATGATTTACATTTTCTCTGCCGCTGAACTCCGTGTCCCTCCAGGAAGCTTCGGAGGGCTGGCGTCCCAGGCTCCGCTGGTGGAGCGAGCCGCAGCTTGTGGGCTTGCTTGGAGTCACGGATGGAGAGCCTTCTCGGAGCCCCAGGATGGTGACCACTGTGCCTGGCCGGCATCTGCGTCCTGGGGATTCTCGACTCTCTCCCGTCCTCGTGCAGCCGCTCTTCACCGGCGGATCACAGGTCCTCGTCAGCCCTTGGAGCCCGCCGAGACCTGCCGGCTGCCCTGGTCAAGTGCGTGATAAAAACGGAGAGCGAGTTCTTAGAGCTGCCGGAGACGCTGCCTGGGCCAGGCTCAGGGGAGGCCGAAGGAGGACACGGTGCCGTCCTCGGGGGAGTGCCCTGCCACAGGCGTGTCAGGTGGCAGGACAGAGCCCGTGAACCAGAGTCCGCCTGCGGGGCGGGGGGCACAGCCCAGCGTCTCCACGAGCCGTGGGACCCCGAGTAAGCGACTTCGCTCTCTGACCTCAGGCTCCTGCCTCCCTGTCCACCAGAGACACTGCCCAGATTAAACCTCAGTGCTCGTTGGCCTCAGAGCTCAAACCTGGTACTGGTTGCAATGTGACGAGAAAAAAAACTGATCGTGCTCAATTTTGACGAGCGTTTCAGCACTTGGCGCTTGCACGAGCGGCACTTGCTAGAACTTGTACGAGTCACGCCGTCGTCCCACAAGAGAAAATGCTCCGTCAGTCGTCACCTGCTTGTCACTCACCAGTACCGAGGTGCTGCTGTGACGGATTAATACGGTCGGCTCCCCTTGTCATCTGCATTTCCTTACAGTATGCACAAGGAACTTTCCTGGGCAGCACGGGCTGTTCTGGAAGCTTCTGTGCAGCTCTGCCATGCCCTGACTCCTGGCCTACAGTTCTAAGTGCCCACCGGACAGCTCCGCCTGCGTCTCCCGTAGGTACCCCAACTTCTGCGGGTCTCCGGTAGATCTTATTACTCTCCACTAAAACCTTTTCTGCTTTCTGTGTTCACTCTATCAGACGAATGGAATCTCGTTCACTGCCTTCCTTCCGTCTGGGCTGGAAGTGTGGGCACCAGCCTCTCCTCCTCACGCTCACCTACACTTAGAACTGGTGGTCATGTCTCGAGGCTCACCTCTCCGGCGCCTCCCGACTCTGTCTCTGTCCCTCCCCACGGCCCCGTCGCAGTGGGGGCCAGTGTCAGGTGGGGCAGGCGCCGCTGGTGTGGCGCACGGATCCCGAAGCGCACAACGCACAAACCCAGGTTAGCTCTAGCGCAACGCAGGTTAGCTCCGCACATGAGACAGCGAGCAAGCCACTTGCGGGGCAGCCTGTCCCTGCGGCCCTTCAGGGGCTCGGCTGGTGCAGGCTGAGCCGTGTTCACTAGGATGCTGAGGGCGCCCTGCGGGCAGCGTCATCCCTGCCAGCGGGAAGGACCAGGCACGCCTTGCCCCTCAGGGCCCACCCCTCCGGTGGAGCCTGTGCTCACCTCTGTTCTGGGCCACCGTTTCCGGCGGACGTGAGTTCCTGAGAACCGGAACGCCCTGGGGAGCCTTCCTGGGGCCTCAGTGTGAGCCCTGTGTTTGGCACATGAAGGAGCAAGTGAGCATTTGGTGTTGAGGAATGCACGTGCCTGCTCACCGCCTTAGCCGGGTGCTGCTCATCCTTGCCGCGCGGGTCTGTGCAGGTGGATCTGAATTTAATGCTTGTGCAGTCAGGGCCTCTCGAATGAGCTGTCCCTTTGATAATTTGAGGTCCCTACCAAGATGCCCAAATGCAAGGACATTTTTTCATGTGTCAAGGAGGACAAGAGTAGGTAAAAATCTTGGGAAAACCCAAAGCACCTAAGAAAAATATCAAAAAGAAAGAAAGAAAAAAAAATGCTTAGGAAAATATATGTCAGAAATGGAGTTCACATTCTTGAACCGTTTCTTCTTTTTTTAAAAAACTGAAACATCTCCAAAGGGTACAGCCTTCAGACACTTGGCCCAGGTGCATTTAATTTTCCAGAACAATGTATGATGATGATTATCTGGGAGCACGAATTCTTAACCCTTCGGCTGACACCTGCTGCTTGTCAGCCACCCTGGAAGCTTCAGGGGGTAAAGCCTGAGGTGCAGGACACTCCGGAGGAAAGGGCTCCGGTCCGCCTGGAGGTGGGGCAGGTGGGGCGGACGGGCGGCACAGGAGGGGTCTTCGGACAGGCTGGAGAAGCTGGGCGCGTGACGCCACCATCCGAATTTCGTGGGCGTAGACTCTCGAATGTTTCCTCAGTCGTATGAACTGGAGCAAGAGAAGCCAGTCACAGATCTTTTTTTTTTTTTTACTTTTATGTTCAGCTGGAGTTTAGAATGCCGTTGTTCTGTTTGAGCTGCAAGATCAAGGTGTCTTATATTGCTTTAAAGTTGATGTTTTTTTAAAAGTAAACAAACGGAAGTGGAATTTGAGATGCCCCATGAAATTTGTGGTTCTAAAACGTATAGGTGAGACCTGGGCTGGAGAAATAGGTTTTGAAGTCATCAGTGAAGACCCAGTGGGACACTCAAAACCCCCCCGGGAGGCTCAGCTGGCTTGATTAGACTGAGGTAGAGAAATTGCCCCGAGTGTACAAGGCACAAAAATCACTCCCCCTGTCCTGAATTCCCTGCTGATGAGAGAACGACTGTAAGTCTCACGGTCTTCACTCCTATAAGTAACAAACATAATTCTTTTTTGTCTTTGATCAGTATTTCTCTGTAAGCCTGTCTGGGTCTTGGAGCAGTTCTGACCACACAGGACACCGCCTCCTCCCAGTCCACACCCACGGAGGGAGGGAGTGGAGGCCAGTGTGATCTGGGGCGGGGGAGCGGCCCGTCTGCGTTTCCTGTGTGCGTGCCTCGCTCCCAAGCCCCCGTTCTGCGCCACCGCCAAACCGTGGGAGGGGCTTCGGCTCACGCCCCACCCCCTGGGTGTGTCGTCACTAACTGCAAAGGTTTTAAAAACCATTAAAACCAGCCCCTCAGTTGTTAAAGATGCAAAATACTTATACACCTTTTTCAAGGATTCCCCAAACTATTTAACATTTTAGAAAGATTTTGTCCTATTACATAATAAGTTATATTCGCAGAGTCGGGCCGTTGCTATGGGGCATCTCGTCACCACCACCAGCATGGTCGCCGGTCACTAGGCCGGACATCCTGTCGCCGAAACCCACTTACTTGTAGGTGGTGGTCTCTCTCCCCTTCTCCCAGGAGGAGACGACGCTCTCGGAGGCCCTGGAGTGCGCACGGGAGGGCAGGCGTTTGAAGTGGGATGCGCCTGACTCCGGACACCAGGGACCTTTGGCCGATGCGGGCCTTACCTTTGGGGCCTGGACACGGATGTTGTTACTTATTTGCTTTTCTTAGGACTTCTAAATGGGTCCCTGCGAATGGGTCTTTGTTCCATTCCTGCTCTATTTCAACGCTCCAAGTGTCGACTGGTCCCATGGAAGCGATGGCCTAGGGTTTTTAGAGGTCGCCTGTCAGTTTCCCACACCCCCCTACCCTGGTACTGGCTTACCTGTGTCTGTGAGGCACACTGATGCTGAGAGGCCCCGTATAAACTGCTAAATATTATCGTCTCCATCCAGGACCGTGCAAGAAGCTGCCGGTTAGAGATGAGTGAGCTTTGGTCTTGGGAAAAATTTGGTTTTTAGATTGACAAGTGTGGCGCCAGAAGACTTCCACGGTGAGAAAGCGGTCCTGGGCGCCGCAGTACTGGTGGCAAACACAAGGCCCGCGGGCCGAATCCGGCCTTCCACCTTGTTTTAACTGTTAAGGAGTAGTTACATGTATACAGTGCTAAAATTACATTCGGGCCTTTGAAGGCTGATGTGGCCCCCAGTGGAAATGAGTGTGACACCCCTGCACTAAAGACTGACTTTGAGGGCTCGTGGCTAGAGAGGTTAGCTACTGGGTTAGGTCCTCGTCTTTAGGAGTGGTGGGGGGCGGAGAGGGAGAGAGAGAGGGAGAGGGAGAGAGAGAGAGGGTAGAGAGGTGCTCCTCAGGTACTGGTTTCATCTGGGAAACAGGATATTTTGTATGTGCCCCTGATAGTTACCATACATG